AAAGCTACTGAAATGAGAAACTTAAAACTTGGTTTAGTTTGAAGAATTCTTTGAACATGATTACGAAGAAAAGTGGCTAAAGTTGTAAAAGTTTAAAGTAGGAACCTTGCATTAGTGCAAAAAAAGGAAAAGAGAAGCAAAAGTTGGTTGGAAAATATTTAGCAGTGTAAATGCATTGTTTTCTCACAGGTAATAGTGAAACTGAATAATGGAGTCAGGGACTTTTCAACTTCAGTTACACCAAAACAGAGTCTCTGTGATGGCAAGTGGCACAGAATGGCAGGTGAGTAAAATCTGATCTTACCCATAATGATAGTGGAGCTTTGTTCTCCCTTTATCCCATCTCTCCACGTGGGCTAAGGTAGTGGAAGCAAGGTCATGCCATGTCTATCACTTCTCACTGTTTTTCTCACTATTATTCTCACTTCTCACTGTTGCTTGGGTTTAAACAGTCCCTGAATCAAACCTATTTGAAAGAAGCAAATCTTGGTTCTCCCCCAAGCACTGTAGTGCTTCTGAGGCTTTCACACAGCAAGCAAAAGTAGGACACATCTTACAAAAAGGTCAGAGACAATCTAATAGCCCATGCTATACAGCAGACTGGTTCCCTACCCTCTGCTGGCCTATGGACAACAGTTCAAACAAGTAACATGCTGTGAGCAACCTCCCACTTTATCACTACAGTTCATGTTGACAGAAAGAGCAATGGCCTCGGTTTTGACTTTCAATTTCCTGCAGTCACAAGCAACACGGAGATTCTTGGCTATATGTTGCTGTGATCCGGAGATTGGGAACCAGGGTAAATAGACATTTGTGCACGTTGTTTGTTCTCAATTTGATTTATTTATTTGGGGGGGGCTTTGTACCCCTTTTAAAGTTTGTTATGCAGCTGTGTATCCCTGTTATTCTGTTACATATATGAAAGGAACAGTTGATGTTACTATAACCACAATGTGATCTCTCCAGTAACCTAAAGCAGGGTTATCAAACTCATCCTGCTCTGTGGACCAGATAAATTGCAGGCCACATTAGGCCCACAGAGTACCCCAATGTGCTGAATCCAGCTGGATTAGTCCAGTGTGGTACCACATGTGGTGCATGCCCTGGCATAACCGTGCATGCTACCTGCAGTGCTTGCCCCAGACCAGTCCCATACACAGGGCTGGTCTGCATCACCAATCCGGACCAGACCAGGATCCAGCAGGCAGGGCCAGTCTGGCACAAGCACCATATACAGCATGCACCCCAGACTGGCAGCATGCACTGACTACAGCATGCATTGGTCTTCGACCCACAGGGCGCACAGCACATGGCGCTGATCCAGGGCACATGCTGCATGTGGCATGTGCATTAGACCAGGCCTGTGTGCTGAATCTGGCCTGAGCAGCCATTCTATAGGCCTGATCCAGACTGGCTTCAGATACAGCAGGAAGGACCAGTTCAATACAGGCACCACATGCAGTGCCCTAGACTGGCCCCATGCTGTGTTCAGCAGGTAGGGCCTGGGCCAGCACATGCTGCTTGCAGTGAACCAATTGGAAACCCACAGGTGGCACTGCAAGCTGAATGATAGGGCTCCATGGGCTGGATCCAGCCTTTGGGATGCATCTGTGACACCCCTGACCTAAAGGATATTGAAAAGGGGATTTTTTTTCATTTTTTCTTTGTCCTTCATTTATATTTTCCTTTTCCCTTCTTCTACTTTCCTATTTCTTCCTCTGGCATACCTTCTAGAACTTTGCTGCATACTCCGGGGAGCACATGACCCAAGTTGAGACATACTATTGTATATTGTACAAAGCATAAATGATACCGTTTATAATTAAAGTTCTTCATCCACTTGCCCTTTGCATTCCAGTGATAAGAGACTCTAACGTAGTGCAGTTAGATGTGGACTCTGAAGTAAACCATGTCGTGGGGCCACTAAATCCCAGAGCAATTGACCACAGGGAACCTGTGTTTATTGGAGGTGTGCCAGGTAAGATATCAGCTTTCTTAAATCTATGTTCCCAAGTTCATAGATTCATAGATTGTTAGGGGCTGGAAGGGACCCGTTCCAAGTGTTTTTAAAAAGAAACTTAGAAGTTTACTTTTCTTTGAAAGAGAGAGTGGGGAAAACATACCATTCCTCTGTAACCTCTGTCTTCCTGATGTAGTCTGAAGTTTGGAAGTTCAAGTAAAGCTGCTAGAAATTTTTTGACTGAACAGAATTCCCTCAGAGAGGCCGTTCCAATGCAGTTGAAGCATTCTTGGCAGTGTGAGAGCCACCAATGCAGTCAGCTTGCTACCCCATGGACTTTTCACTTTAATTAAGAATTGAACTGTAAAGTTTTCCATGGGGTTAAAAGCCCTACTGAGATATAGTTCTAGTCTTAAAATATAGTTGCTGCTAACCTGCTCCCCCACCTTCTCCAAGCCTGACTCCCTTGAGTACTAATTATGAATAATTATTAAAAAATTTTAAAAATCTGGCTCTATCAGTTTCTCATGTGCAAGTGTTGGTTAATATGACCTTGTGAGTCACAAAGCATCTATGTGATGGGGCTCAAAATTACTAAATTTACTCTTCCTATTCAACAGGCTGCTTCTCCACTGAAAGTTTCATATGCCAGCTATAACCAATAGGCCTGTGCGAAAAGGGAAGTATTTGATGTAGATTCGGCCGATTCAGAGGACAGTGATCTGATTTGGAAATTTGGATCACTGTCCTGAATCAATTCAGCCAAATCAGCTTTGGAAGATTTGGCGCTGATTCGGAGAGATTCCGTGATTTGGCCATAGACTATAATGGGAAATTACTGAGATACATATAACATCATTTTCTGGCAGATTTGGATGAAAACAGCAGGGTGGCAGCCCCTTCTGAGGGCATGAAGCCTGCCAAGTTTCAAGGAGATAGATGCAGGAGTTTCTGGGAAACTGCACCTTAAACTCCTGAAAGCAAAACTCATGTCACTTGTGTGTGTTAAGGCAGATTTGGATGAAAACAACAGGAATGATAGCTTGTAACAGGGGGCCTTCCTGGTGCTGGTTAGATTTCCACCTGCCCACCTGTTTCTGGGCCATCCGCCTGCCCCTCTTTTGCTCAGGCAGAAACAGCTTACAAAAGGCACAGAAAGACTGAAGACACAGACTTATGTGCTTTTTCTATGTCCCTCGCCAAGAGCACTGATTGGAACGGGACTCAGAGAAATACCAGAGTCACTAGCCGGCTACTGATGTCAGTCTTTCCCCCGCTACTCCCACTCCCTCTTCTCAGTTTCTGTTCCCCTAAAACAGTGGTCTCCAAAGTGGGGTGCGCAAGATGATCCATTGGGGTGCAGGAAGAAAATATTAGAACTTCTATTTATATTTATATTTATATAAATATACATATATTGGGGGTGCGTGCTCAAAAATTTTTTACTGATAGGGGTGCATGATCAAAAAAGTTTGGAGACCACTCCCCTAACAGGTTGCTTTTTGAATCTCCAAATCTTTTTCTGAATCTTTTCCAAATTGATTCAGAGGGTTTTTTTGTCTCCCAATTCAAGTCGGATTCGGTGATTCAGCTTCCAAATTGGGCTGAATCTTCTCCGAATTGATTCAGTGACCAAAGCTTCACACACCCCTAATAACCAACAGTACATGATTTGACTTTTAAATCACTTCCTATACAATCTTCATTTCTCATTGTTTTGGAGGTACCTTCAACATCAATCAAGAATAACACTAACAATCCAATTCATAATATTGCTTATCTTGGATGAATAGCTCAAGAACGTGATGTTCTATTCCATCCCATGCTACAAAGGGGAAAAAAACAGTCTAAAGGGAATGATAGCATCTCTGTGCATAAGGCTGATCTTCCTATGTTTCTAAATCAGGATATTATTAGAACTTCTATATAATTACTGCAAAACCCTGTCCAAAGAGGGAATATAATGTGGTAACTGTGAATGTTGTTCTGTCCCATAATAATAGAACTTTATAATTCCACATTATTTACAGAACACTAGAGACATCACACATTGGCAACATATTGGAACTGGCATTATGCACATTATACATTTAGCTGGTATGCATGTAAATGGAGTATATTGTATTCCAGGGACTTCAAACTCATCTGGCCCTGTGGGCTGAATGAGTGGCATGGTGCTGATCCATAGGCCAGATTGGGCCCATGGACCCTGTCCTGCTGCATGTCAGATCCAGTACTTGTGGCACACGCTCCAGGACTGCGGCACCTGCTCCAGGTGATTCAGGAACCACACTGCATGCAACGCCCACCTTAGAGGAACCAGAGTGGGTACTATATGCAGCACCGTCCACATGCAGTGCAGTCCTGGAGCAGGCACCACATGCAACATGGGTGTATGGCTGACTGCAGAAAGCACCAAATTAAAGCTGCATCTGATGCCTGGCATGTGGGGCAGTCCACCGCATGTCGCATGCAGTGTGTGGATCAGTTATGAGACCCAGGGACAGCCCCGAGGGCTAGATGACAGGGCTCTATGGCTGGATCCAACCTGAAGCCCATATCTTTGACACCTGTGTTCCTATAATGAGACAATAAGCAAGACATAATGCTAACTTAAGTCATATAAATACAACATACAAATAACTAAATATAACCTAGGAACATGGATATAGGCCACATCTACACAAGTGGCAGACTGCGCAGTTGTTACTCCACAGTCATTTGGTACTTGCATAAGCTTATGAAAGTACTAATGACTGTGCAGTAACCAGCGTTACTGTGTAGTGCCATCTCCACAGTTTTTTTCCCCCAACACTACTGTGCAGTAGCAACAAGCTGTGCAGTAGCAACAAGCAACAGTAACGTCACCACATGGTTAGTGCCCAGCAATGCTACTGTGCAGTAGCAACAAGCTGTGCAGTAGCAATGAGATACAGTGCAGTAGCTTGTAGCTACTGCGCTGCAGTGTCTCATTTAGACGTGCCCATATACAAGTAAACATGCCATATGTCAGAAGACATTACAAAGGCACAGCCTGATATTCTTTTCACATGCTTTTGCATATGCAAAAATGCAAGACAGCCTTCCCATTGGTTATAAGGTATCAAGAAGTTGGGTGTAAGTGCAAACGATATGATACCATTTCTCATACCTACTCTAAATAACCTTTTTGGAAATTGGCAGTGCTTCACCCATTTTGAAAAACTTCAGAAGATAGGTCAGAGCTGAAATCGGTAGCAAATTGTAAATAAAGGTTATTGTCTTCTAGAAAGAACAGAAAACAGATTCCAGATTTATATTCAGGGTAACAAAAGCAACTTGCTCTTACTTTGGAATTTCAAAAAGGGCAGTGCTCCAATGTATTACAAAGCCATCATGATATATTAGCTTTAGTCCTATTTCTTGGTCGTTTTACCTGCACCCAAATTGTAGGGTGCACACATTGACAGAGCACTAAACTAGAAACCTTGGTTATGTTGCTGGCACTGCCACTGGTCTGATGGGTGACACTGGGAGAGTCAGTTCACCTCTGTTAGTTTCCCCAGCTATAAAACTGGGATAATGATACTCATCTCTTCTATGAAGTTACCCACTGTGATGAAAAACGCTGTATAAGAGCAAGGCATTTATTAATAATACTGCTTTACAGATTTTGTGTCGTCTTATCATCGGTTAGCTGCACAACAACTGAATTTGCTTTGGATGTAATTAAGAACAAAAGTTGGTCTCGTCAATTTTGCTAGAATAAGAGCTGGTCTTATTGAAAACCATGGGTAGATATCGGAAATCTTTTGTTCCTCCACATGGTCTCCCCACCAAAAACTGACTTAAACAACTTCCTTGTTCTGCCTACTTCCCTTTCCTAAATATAGAAATCAAAATATGTCTATGTTGAAAACTATGGTTTTGGTAAATATTTAAAAAGACACCAAAAAAACCACGATTTCAGAAAAAAATAGCTTGAAAAATATCTTTAAAATAGAACATGGATCTATTTCAAAGACTGTAAAAGTAAATAACTCATTTTTTTCTCTCCAAAATTGTTATTCAAGTTTTCAACCTGCTTTATTTAAAATTCTTATACAGTTTACTTCAGTCGTCATTGGTTCCAATTACCCTTTATTCTTTGTTTCTTTCAGAATCACTTCTAACATCCACCCTGACCACACGAAATTCCTTTACTGGCTGCATTCGTAACCTGGTGATTGATGAAAAACCAGTGAGTTTTAGTAAAGCAGCTTTGGTCAGTGGTGCAGTGAGCATCAGCACATGTCCAGCAGCCTGATACTGCACGTCGGCAGAACTGCAAAGGTCTTTACAGCACTGAAGGATAAACAAGGCAAAAGGGTCTGTGTTCTAGTCCTCTGCAATGCTGAGAAATAATTAAACTATATCATTCCAATCTGTATATTTAGGGTCACTCACTTCAAACACATTTATGTGTACAAACAAAAAACCACTGAAGAATAAAGAAATTTTTTTTCTGCAGTGCTTTTGCTATATAACACAAGAGTTTACAGTTACTACAGTTTCTGTGTTGCAAACCCTACTGCCCTTTTACATACCAATGCTGATGGATTACAGAATAAAGGAAAGTGATTTTAATATGTTGCTTTCCAAAGACCCTATATTTTCATTCCATGCCATACAAATGCCCTAAGCAACTTCTTGTTTATTTTGAAAAAATGGTAATATACATGAAAGAATAAAGGTAGATAATAGACTTTGCAAATAATCGTGTTTAAAGATTATTTTACCTCACATTCAGCTTATTTATGCTGCATAGTAAATAGATCATTTATTTAAACTAGCTAGTGATTAGAACACCAACTGCTAATACAGAGAGCTCTGAGTATATATATGTGTGTGTGAGAGACAAAATTTCAACATTTTATAAAACATTTTCCTTTAAAACTGTATACATACAAAGTACATGCATAAATAACCCCAAATGTCAAAGATGCAGGACACGATTTCTGATCTAATTTGTCCTAGTAGAACATAAGTAATTCCACTGACTTCAGTATGGTTTCCCATGATTTATGCTAGCATAAACAAGAGGAGATTAACACCTACAGTACCTGGAGAAACTATATCACAGAATATAATCATCATTCCTTCCTTCACCCCTGCCCCTGCTTAGCAATTGCTACAGTACAGTGGTCCAGCACCTTTTATTCTGATACAGTACTCAGTCACAAGCCAAGTGTACAAAACTCAGAAGCAAGCATGAAAAGCACTTCGGCCAGCTACAAGGCCTAGTGATATCTAACACCTTATGGATCTCAATATGCATTCTGTCAAGTGCCTTCAGACTCAGAATTCTGCTCAGCTCCCCTAGAAAACCTTACCCTCGTCAGATGCTACAAACTGTCTCAAAATATTCCCAGCCCATCTGATTTCTAGCCTTCCACGCAGGAGGTAAAAGAATGGTAGACTCACTGCTTAGTCAACTCACCATAGGGGTTCCTGAGATTCCTACCCAAGTTGTTGGTACACTATACAGAGAAAAGGAAAAATGCAGTCCTATTGGTACCTAAAATGCATCCCTGAATCAAAAGGCATGCTTAAATGAGAACTCATAAATATTTTAATTCTCAATTGACCCCATCTTAGTTTGGTCTAGTTTAGGTCTCAATAGACCCCATCGAAAGGTAATTCATTGGAGTGGGGTTTGACTCTCCTCCCCCTTTTGAGAAGAAAATTTCCATAAGGTTCCCTCCTCAGACTTGCATCCTGCCAAAGGTACACGCTTACCTCTCCAGTGTTTTGAGGGAGGCTAGTGCCACTAGAAAGTTTCCTGTACCCTAACACTGACTCTTATCTTAAGAAGGACCCTTGGTCATAGCCATTCACAGTCAGGGGATTCCAAGAAAAAATACCATAGCCCAGCGCTCTATTAACTGTGTCCGCATCCTACAAGCTCCTGGTGCTTGTCACTGACAATCCCTGAATCTTAAGCACCAAGTTCTGAAGTACACAGAGGGTTACATATGCAGAGGAACCCTGACTAAGCCCATGTCTTCAACTACCTGGGATATGGAAGACAATACACCCATTGTCTTTAAGACAGAACGCTTTCCCTGTACCATCTTCACTATTTCACAGGCTACTCCAAAATAGACATTACGCTTTTATCATTCATTCCTCGAGATCCTTGCATACTCCTGGATCAACCCTCTGCTCAACACGGCTAACTTGGCCCGATTCTCTAGAAATGGTGAGAATATTAAAGGAATGCTTGGACATGTTTTTCCTGGACACTTCAAATATATGCAAATAGATAAAACATCCTTGCACAGCATACTGGAAGGATCATGGGCCAGGTAAATGTGCTCACCTGTGTTGGGCATTTTATAGCCATACAAACACCATTTGAAGCCAGGAAGCAGCTCCCTTCCTCCTCACACATGGAGCAGGTGGACATTCCAAAGACGACAAAGACGGCTGAAGAGTTCAGGGTGTCATAGTAATTCTTTGGAAAATAATGATGTTGTAAGGTGAACTAAGTCCTTAAAGCAAAGCAAAACACAGCTTTAGTATGAATCCCAGGATATGGTTCCCATAGCAGTGTGAGGTGTAAGTAGGTAAGTGGCTGTTGCCACTCTTTAGTTACAAACTATACCTTACTGTTGTAACCTGGCGGGGGGTCGGGCTAGAAGATCTACTAGGTCCCTTCCGACCCTAAATCTATGAAACTATGAAACCTAATATATTAGTAGGATTTAAAAGACTAAGATATGATGGTTTGTGCCAATATATTACTCCGTCGATTACTGAATAACTCACTCCTGGAAT